CGCAGCCTGCCGAACCAACAGCCGCACTGTCATGTGTGCCTCAGTCGCCACAATCCTTTCGTCCGCACTTCTATTTCTACAGGCCGCGTCGTTGTTCCGGGCGTCGGAGGACCTAGCTGCTCCGCCCCTGGGGGGTCCGCTGGTCGCTTTCCCCGTGTCTTTACACTATAGCTTCTAATTTGATCACCTCCCCAGGGACAACCGCCCCGGGGGTGGGGGGGGGGAAGGCCGCGCCAGTATGCCTCATAGGCCACCAGCTCGAGCTCGAGGGGGAGTAGGAGGAGTAGTAGGAGGAGGAGGAGGAGGAGGAGGAGGAGGAAGAGGAGGAGGAGGAGGAGGAGGAGGAGAACGAGGAGGACGAGGAGGAGGAGGAGGCGGAGGAGGAGAAGGAGGAGGAGGAGGAGCAGGAGGAGGAGGAGGAGGAGGAGGAGGAGGAGGAGGAGGGGCCATTTGCTGGCACTTGCGTGTCGCTGTCTTCCCCCTTGCCTTCCTGCCCAGCAATGTTCTCGGCTGCCAGGCTCCTGTGGCTCACTTGTGAACTGGATTGTGGCAGGCAGGGTGCTGTCAAGTTGTGCACCTGCGCGGACAATTCATCGTGCATGTGTGCCTGTTTCCTTGCCTAATTCGCGTTCGTTTACATACCGACGCCCTATCCGCCAGCGCAGTCTTTCTGCTTAACAGCCGACGCAAAAGGCTGTTTCCCGTCTGGGCGCCGACTACGCGGAACGGCCTCCTCACCAGTTTGCTCCAGTCAATGCACATGGACAGTGACAGCGCCATTGTCGTGGATCACGGGCGCAAGAACTCCGAAGGCGAGTCCCGCACCCAGTTCGTCGTCAAACCCCTTTCAGTACGTCTCGGGGGCGCTCCCGCTGCGTCACTGGCCGCGAACCCGGCGGAATCGGAGGGCCTTGACTTGAAGCCCGAGATGGCGGCTGCGACGGGGGGGAGATTTGCAGTGCCGACAGGGACAGGGAGACCACCCCTTTGCCCTCATTCTCCACAAGGTGGGCCGCGGGGGGGACCCCCCCCCCTCCGGGGACCCCCCTGGGACCGCCCCCCCCCTGACCTCCCGGGGACCCCCCCCAGGGAACACCCCCCAGGACCACCCCCCGGACCCCCCCTCCCCAGCGGCCACGGGACAACGGGGACCACCCCCCGGACCCCCCCTCCCCAGCGGCCACGGGACAACGGGAAATGCCCCTTTCGACGTAATTACGACATTGTTTGATCCCCCTTGTTTGTTCGATTCCCCGTGCGAAGATGACGATTCAAACGGGGCTGGCGCACTTCAGTTTGGGTTGGGCTGGCCTTGCGTCGAAGGGTTTCTCATACACGCCGACTTTGTCGGCGGATTTGTCTTTACGTGCGGCCACTCAGTTCGGGGCGACGACGCCTTGCTGACCCTCGATAGGTGGGTCGTGGATGGAGAACGTATGAAATACGTGCAGGGCCACTCCGATCTGATTAACAACCAGAGTGACGATGTTGAGGACGGCAATCGTTGGATACGAGCTGTTGTCATTGTGATGAGGGTGTGCCAGTTGGCCAATATACCAGTGGTGATTGTTATGCCGCAAGTTGCCTTGGTTTTATAATCGAGAAGGAACAACGATAATACGTAATGTGCTGTTTCGTGGCAGCAGGAGACATTAATTGACGCGGAGTTGGTCGATGGGTTTGTCTTAGATGTACCCCGCGCTGTGTCTTTTTTGTTTGTTGTCTTGGCGATTGGACGGGCCGATGCGGATTGCATCGTCGTCTGGTGAGTTGACCCGACCGCGGCCCACGTCCAACAAACACGTGGGTTTCGGGCCGCGCTTCCTGGAGTCCGTCCGCCGCTCGTCAATGTTGGACTTGCAGCACGACGTCCAGGTCGCGCTGTTAGGCTAGAGCGCGAGGCAAATTCGTACGCGCAGCATGGCCGTGTCTCCTCTCTTTGCTGCATGCGCACGTGTGCGCACGACTATCAGGTTAAAGCTTCATGTGCAATCATCTACTGCTCGCGTGTTATGTGTTTGCAGTTTAGTCGAGGGGGGGCAATTGCAGGAGGAGGGGCTAGGGTGGCGAAAACGGCAGACGAGCGCCACCCCGCCTTCCACCTCGCTCGCAGCAGTCGCCCCAAGCTCGTATTCCTCTTGTCCTGCCTTGCTCCTCGTGTTCTATTTCATCGGTTGAACGTTCTGTCTTCGCAGAGACTTGGGCTCAGCCGTGCGGTTCGTCAAGCCTCCCAGTCCTCGGCCATGGTCCATTTTTGGTTTTCAGGTGAGGTGTCAGGAGTACTTGGCTGGCCTTTCGGTTTTCCCCCGTATTGGACCAGGTCGAAGCGGCTGTCTGCCCTTACTGGAACCTCGGCCCCACGTTCGGCCCCGTCCTGTGGGTCCGTGCGGGTCTTGCTGGACCTGGGCCTTGTCGGGTTCGTTTTGTTACATTCCTTCGCGCGGGCAGCCTGCCCGCGCGTGCTGATGCTACCAGCCACCGAGGCTTGACAGCATGTGTAAGAAAGAATACGATGAGGATGGTGGAGGATGGTGGGGTGGAGGGCCGTTTCCCGCCGCGCCCCCCAGCCGCCAGAGCCTCCCGCTGTGCCCGCACCCGTGCTCCCCGCGCGCGCTGGGCGACCTCGACGGCCCCCCCGCTGGGGATGCGGAGATGCAGGAACGCTGGGCGCCAGACATCCTGGTCGTCGGCGTCGGCGTCGGCGTCGTCGTCGGCGTCGGCGTCGGCGTCGTCGTCGTCGTCGTCGTCGTCGTCGTCGCCGCTGTCGCCGTCGCCGTCGTCGTCGCCGTCGCCGTCGCCGTCGCCGTCGCCGTCGCCGTCGCCAGTGGGTCGGGTCGGAGGATCGCGCCGCATCGCCGATGCATCGGCGATGCGGTTCGATGTGGAGCCCGATTCTCTCCACGCCGATGGCGCCGATGCACCGCCGACGTCGCCAGTGCATCAGTGATGCATCGGCGATGCGGCGCGATCCTCCGACCCCATCTACACTTGGACCCCATTCGGGAGGCCTCCATAACTCCTGTGCGTTCGGCACAGGAGCGTTTGTCCTCTTGCCATCTCTCCCTGCCCCACTGTCCGCTTCCCTCGCCCCCTCGTCAGCCTTTGATCGCTCCTTTGTCGCCTTGGCTCGTCCTCGTGTCGGCTCTCCCGGCTCGTCTCGGAGAGGTTCCGTACCAATCTGTTCCGCACCCGCCCTGGTCGTGCAGGGTAGCCCGCTCGGCACCGCGGGCCATTCCTCGTGGCTCCGGCCGGCACTGCCCCACAGCGCAGGAGGGCGCTGCGCTCCTTCCGCCTCTGGGTCGGGGGCGGGCGACCGGCAACAGGGGAGATGATCGAGGAAGGGCAGTCGCAGGCGGATGCCGGGGAGCCCGAGGAGCCCCAAAAAGCAGGAGTTGGAGGAGTTCTACTTCGATGCGAGGGGGAGGCGGAGGAGGAGGAGGAGGCGGAGGAGGAGGAGGAGGAGGAGGAGGAGGAGGACCAGAACTGTGAGAGCAAGCTCTTCTTCTTCTTCAGTGGCAACAAGTTCCACCGCAAGGATGGTTTGTTCAGTAAAGGCGCGGCTGGCACATGTAAGGTGCCATCGGCCTACAGGGATGTCATTTCGAAGTGTCACGATGAGGATCTCCAGCCAGAGACTGTTACCACAGAGGACCTGGGCACCTCCTTCCAGAACGAAGCGGGCTTTACATTGAACATGGCGGAGGACCAGAAGCCTCCCGACCAGTTCCAACAGAAGTTCTAGGATTTAGATGATGATGGGTGGATCAAGAAGGCATGCCTGTTCTGCTGCCCCGCCAGCGTAACGCACCATCAAGAAGGCGAGCAAGAGATGTTTGTGCAACAGATGTTGGATGTCGTGGGCGACGCCGTGGATAAGCTTGACGAAGCAATCGATGCCGTGGGGGAGAAGGTGGGGGATGTGTTGGAGGACGTCGCCGAAGCTGCTCGGGATGTGCAGGAAAGCGTGCTGCGTGCACTGGGGCTGGATGATAAGTTCAAGGATGTCTCAGACAACACGTTGGAATACGTTGCATCCAAGGCTGGGACACTGGTCGTCGAAGACGCGGCGACCTTCGTGGCGGCGCCCCTGGGACCTTCGGTGGACCACCCTATTGGGCCGCGATCCTCGTGAGGGGTGTGCAGAGATGGGTGGGCCAGACGCATGCGAGCGGCGCCCCCCGGGACTTTTGGTGGAGCTCCCTATGGGGCCACGATTCTCGTGATGGGGTTTGCCATGATAGGCGGGTCGGACGCATGCGGGCGGCGCCCGTGGGACCTTTGGTGGAGCCCCCCATGGGACCACGAAGCGTGTGATGGGTGTGCTAACGTGGGTGTGTCGGACGCATGCGGCCGACCCCCCTAGGACCTTCGCTGGAGCTCCCTATGGGGGCACGATGCTCGTGAAGGGGTGTGCCGACATGGGTGGGTCGGATAGATGCGGCCGACGCCCTTGGGACTTTCGGTGGAATACCCTGTGGTGCCACGAAGCGTGTGATGTGTATGACGACAAGGGTGCGTCAGACGCATGCGGGCGACGCCGTTGGGGCCTTCTGTGGAGCTCCCTTTGGGGCCACGAAGCGTGTGATGAGTGTGAAAAAACGTTGATGGCGGTACTAACGGCGATGATGATGCTGATGCTGATGATGCTGATGTTGATGATGATGCTGTTGCTGATGTTAATGATGATGCTCATACTGCTGATGATGATCATGCTGCTGCTGCTGCTGCTGATGATGATGATGATGATGATGCTGATGATGATGATGATGATGATGATGAGAATGATGACCGAAAGGTGTCAGATGATGGTGTTGGCGATGATGCTGATGATGTCGATGATGATGTTGATGTCGATGATGATGCTGATGATGATAATGCTGCTGCTTAACATGATACTACTGATAACGCTGCCGCTGCTGCTGTTGAGGATGCTGCAGATGATGCATCTGACGACGATGGTGATGATGATGCTGATGCCGATGACAATGCTGCTGATGATGCTGATGGTGATGATTCTGATGATGTTGTTTCTGATGATGATGGCGGCGATACTGGTGATGATGCTGCAGCCGATGATGCTTATTCTGATGATGCTGATGCTGCTGATGCTGATGCTGCTGCTGCTGATGATGATGATGATGCTGATGTTGATGCTGATGCTGATGATGATAATGCGGCTGTTGATGATGATGACTTTGAGGATGCTGCTGCTGATGATGCTGACGTCGGCGATTAGTTGTTGATGCTTATGCTGATGATGGCGATGACGGTGCTGCTATGTGAAGGACGGAGGCATGTATGGGAGGAGGAGGAGGAGGAGGAGGAGGAGGAGGAGGAGGAGGAGGAGGAGGAGGACGAGGACGAGGAGGAGGAGGAGGAGGAGGAGAGAGGAGGGAGGAGGAGGAGGAGGAGGAGAGGAGGAGGAGGAGGAGGGAGGAGGAGGGAGGAGGGAGGAGGAGGAGGAGGAGGGAGGAGGAGGGAGGAGGGAGGAGGGAGGAGGGAGGAGAGGAGGGAGGAGGGAGGAGGGAGGAGGGAGGAGGAGGAGGGAGAGGGAGGAGGGAGGAAGAGTAGGAGGAGGAGGAGGAGGAGGAGGAGGAGAGGAGGAGGAGGGAGGAGGAGGAGGAGGAGGAGGAGGAGGAGGGAGGAGGAGGAGGATGGAGGATGGAGGATGGAGGGAGGAGGGAGGAGGGGAGGAGGAGGAGGAGGAGGAGGAGGAGGAGGAGGAGGAGGAGGAGGAGGGAGGAGGAGGAGGAGGAGGAGGAGGGGAGGAGGAGGAGGATATGAGGAGGAGGAGGAGGAGGAGAGGAGGAGGAGGATATGAGGAGGAGGAGGAGGATATGAGGGAGGAGGAGGAGGATATGAGGAGGAGGAGGAGGAGGAGGAGGAGGAGGAGGAGGAGGAGGAGGAGGAGGAGGAGGAGTTGGAGGAGGAACGCGGGGCGCTGTCTTTCCAAAACGAGAACCCAACACCACAGCATGGTTAGGAACTGCACAACAACACTACGTAAAAGCACGACGTGAAACAACTCTCCGAGCGCCTGGAAGATGTCTCTGTTCTGCGTAGTGTTTTCGGGTAGAGTTTCGACGCAGGGCGCTCATGCGGTGCTCCAGCGGCCCGCTTCTTGTGGTCCCGGGGCGGCGCAGATGAGCGACCCAGGCGACCGTAGCGTTTGCGCGTGTTTTTCTCTTGTTTCTGTTTTTTTTTCTTCTGCGTTGTACGTTCCCGTAGTGTTTCTCGGTAGCGTCCCGATGCCGACGCTTTCTCGCGGCGCTCCAGCGGCCCGCTCCCCGTGGACCCGTGCGCCGCTCGCGGGAGACGCGGGCGACCGCAGCGTTCGCGTGTGGCTTTCCCTTTCTCTGCGCAGTGCTTTTGCGTAGTGTTTTCGAGTAGCGTGCCGACGCAGGGCGCTCCCGCGGCGCCCCCGCGGCCCGCCCCCTGCGGACTCGGGCGACGCTCGCGAGGGACGCAGGCGACCGTAGCGTTCGCGCGTGTTTTTGTTTTTGCGTGGCGTTTTTGTCGTCGTGTGTTTCGCGCAGCGTGCCGACTCAGGGCGCTCCTGCGACGCAAGTGCCCTACACGAGCACACTACTCAACTATACCACGCAGAAGCATGACGTCAAAACCCTACGCTGAAGTAGTGCAAACACTACGCACATTCACGATGCAAACGCACTGCGCAAACACATTATGCGCAAACGCTACGCAACACACGACGCAGAATCACGATGCAGCACTACGCGCAAGCACTACGCAAACTCATCCCGCAACAACGCGACGTAGACAAGATTACACGTAGGCGTGCCTCTCGGCGCAATGTGTTCGCGCCCCCCTGCAGTTTACATAGGGTCATAATCCTGGGAGTGCGGGCTACAAACAACTTACAGGGGATCGTGGCCGGGGGAACGCGGATCCAGCGTAACCTGCACGGGATCGAGGCCTAGGGGGCGCAGAGCTAGCGCAACGTGCAAGGGGTCGTGGCCCTGGGTGCGCGGATCCATCGTGATTTACGAGGGCTCGTGGCCTTGCGAGCCAGGACATCGTGGAACTTATTCAGAGAAGGGGGACAAAGACAGTATCCGACATCACCACGACAACCTTGAAGCCAATGCGCCGTGATCTTCACAGCCTGGAGGCACCACAAGGGGTGTGGCTGATTTCCTCTCTCGTCCTAGCTTTCGTTCGCCACCACCGCCACCGCCTTCCCATGCCTCCCGTTGGCACCGCCAGTGCATCGAAGACGCGGCGTGCTTGGTCTTTCTGGAAAAGGAGCTGCAGGACGGGTTCGACGACGGCAAGCAGGACGAACAGATGGTCCGCCTCCTGCTCGTCTTTGCAGCCCTCCCCGTGCCCTTGTTCTCATCGCCACCCTCCAGCTTGCCCCTGTCCTGGCCCCCGACGTCGTCGTCGCCGCCGTCCTGGGAGCCGTCGCATTCTGCGCTGCGGCGTGCAGCCGAGAGCGCGGCTCGTGTGTACCTGTGGCTGAAGCTCAGTGTTGTTTAACCGACCCCTGTCCCCATCCCCATCCCCATCCAGACCCCCACCATCTCAGCACCCCAGTTGGGGACTTACCATTCGGAACCCGGAGGAACAGCCTGTATCCCGGCCCAGGGGGGTAGTCTGGCCAGTGGGGCCCAGGCCACTGCTCGAGCCGCAGCTGCCGCCGTGATCCCTGCCTCCCCCGCCGCCTTCCGTCTCGAGGGGCGCCCCCCGCCCTGCATGCCGACGCCGCGGGCCGCTCGCCGCTCGCACTCGCCTGGAGGAGGAGCAGCAGGAACAGGAGGAGGCGGAGGAGCAGAAGGAGGCGGAGGAGGCAGGAGGAGGAGGATGAGGGGGAGAAATATGAGGAGAAGGAGGAGGAGGAGGAGGAGGAGGAGGAGGAGGAGGAGGAGGAGGAGGAGGAGGGGGAAGAGGAGGGGGAAGAGGGGGATGATGATGATGCTGATGATGCTGATGATGCTGCTGCTGCTGCTGATGATGATGATGATGATGATGATGTTGCTGATGATAATGATGCTGATCCTAATGATGATGCTGATGATGATGGTTATGCTGATGATACTGATGATGCTGATGATGACTATGATGCTGACGCTGATGATGATGAGGAGTAGGATGCTGTTCACGATGATGATTGGGATGATGATGATGCTGATGATGATGCTGATGCTGCTGCTGCTGCTGATGATGATGCAGTCATTCGCCAAGCATATCCATATGAGTGCAACAGCTATAAGGCATTCTTTGTACACCCGCCTCAGGCTCGCCTGACAACGGACAACCGCGCCAGGGTCGCCGAGAAGCAGTTGACTGCGCAACTTCCTTTGGTTCCCTTTCTGGGTTAGGACTGAGTATGCCCACTCTTTCGGGCACCCCTGGTCCAGTCCGTCTCCAGCGTTTCGGCGTGTGGTTGGCTATCCTCTTCAGGACCTGCCACAACCAACCACACGGGGCAGGCCGACGCTGTCACGAACGACACCTCTGTTTCCGACTGTGCGGAAACACCACGCGTACCTTCTTGAATGCAAAGATACCTTGTGTCTGGCTGTATTCTGGGACTCCGTCGTACACACCAAACCTGCCAGAAGATGTCAAACCAGGCTCTGAGAACCTGCTGTTTTGGCCTTCAAAGAAGGGAGGAAACAATTGCCCCCTCTTTCGTGACGCCGCCGGCCACCGCAGCTAAGCTGGGTGATTGCCCCCTTTCTATTGAGCGGGCACTAACCACGGCCCAGGGGTGTGAGCCACCCGACCCCTGCATTAGGCGCTCGTGGATAATCAGAGCGCATCTGCGCAGCCCCCTTTTTGGTAAAGCCATCATTGCTACCTCTCTGACTATTGGGAAACAGGCCGCACCACCGAAGACGAGCTCCTGGAGAGACTTTCGGCTGATAGCCAGATGTCCATATTAGTGCGACAGTTAAGGTATTCTTTGTACACTCGCCTCAGGCTCGCCTGACAAAGGACAACGGCGCCAGGGTCGCCGAAAAGCAGTTGACTGCGCAACTTCCTTTGGTTCCCTTTCTGGGTTAGGACTGAGTGTGCCCACTCTTTCGGGCACCCCTGGTCCAGTCCGTCTCCAGCGTTTCGGCGTGTGGTTGGCTATCCTCTTCAGGACCTGCCACAACCAACCACACGGGGCAGGCCGACGCTGTCACGAACGACACCTCTGTTTCCGACTGTGCGGAAACACCACGCGTACCTTCTTGAATGCAAAGATACCTTGTGTCTGGCTGTATTCTGGGACTCCTTCGTACACACCAAAAGTGCCAGAAAATGTCAAACCAGGCTCTGAGAACCTGCTGCTTTGGCCTTCAAAGAAGGGATGAAACAACTGATGCTGCTGATGATGGTTAGGTGCTTATTTTGATAATGATGCTGCTGATGATGCTGCTGATGATGATGCTGATGCTGCTGCTGCTGATGATGCTGCTGATGATGATGGGGGTTATGATGGTGACGCTGATGATGATGACGCTGATGATGGCGATGCTGATGTTGATGATGATGATGATGATGATGATGATGATGATGCTGTTGTTGATGATTATGATGATGATGATGATGATGATGATGATGATGATGATGTTGCAGATGCTGCTGCTGATGATGATGCTGATTCTGATGATGCTGATGATATTTAATGATGCTACTGATGATGCTGATGCTGCTGCTGCTCCTGCTGCTGCTGCTGATGATGATGATGGTGGTGGTGGTGATGATGATGATGAGGAGGAGGAGGAGGAGGAGGAGGAGGAGGAGGAGGAGGAGGAGGAGCAGTACGAGGAGGAGGAGGAGCAGGAGGAGGAGCAGGAGGAGGCCGCCCACTGCCCCGCCCTCGCCCGCCGCTTTCGCCCGCCGCCCGCCGCCCTCGCCTGCCGCGCCCACCACCTGTCGGCTCGACGGGCGCCCTGCCGCCCGCCGCCGTCCGCCGCGGCTCGCCGTGCCCCGCTCATCCGCGCGCTTCGCCGGCCATGCCTGCGGCCGGCGCGGAGCTCCGTGGTCGACTACACGTAAGAGTGGCCCTTCGCCGGAGGGACCGTTGGTGCGGGCCAGCCGGGGCTTACGAGACGGGGGTCCATGCAAACGGGGGTCAACCAGGGCCCCAGATCCTGCAGCCTGCAGGATCCTGCGGCGACCCCCTCTGGCCGACCCGGGTCGGCGAGCCGCTCGTGGCCGCGAGGCGGCCGCGCACGTTGGCCGACCCGGGTTTGCGAAGCCCTGCGTTGCATTTTTTGTTTGCTTTCATGCATTGCAGTTTCTGGTTCCCGGGGGAGGAGGAGGGGGGGGAGGAGGGGGAGGAGGAGGAGGAGGAGGAGGAGGAGGAGGAGGAGGAGGAGGAGGAGGAGACCCGGGTTGGCAGATCCCCGAGGCCGGCTGCGGTCCCCTGACCGCCGAGCGCGGTGCGACAGCATCGGCCTGCGCGCTCGGGGGGTTGGGCCACCCCGCGCCGCCTGGTTGAGCCGCGCGCCGGGGGTCACTCTTGCCCAGGGTCGCTCTTGCGTGTGGCCGACGTGGGGGGGGGGGGCCTTAGGGGGCCACATGCGAACCCTACCCCTACCCCTGAGGGGGAGGGTGGGGTAGGGTTCGCAAGTGGCCCCCTGGGCCTGCGGGGGTGCTCCCTGCGGGCGCCAGTCGATGATCCTTGGAGGATCTGTGTTGCGGTTGGGGCGTCGGTTGAGGAATGCGTTCGGGAGGCCTCAGGCCCTGGATGATTCGTTCTCTGATGAGGGTGGTGGTGGTGTCCATGGTCAAGCCTCAATTGGCGTTACACGGGCTTCCAGACCATGGGTTCCCTATCCAATGGTTTCTCATCCGATGCCCTTGCCGTAGCCCAACGTGCTTGTGCTCACTCTGCGATCGCGTTGCCCGGCTTGCCGCTTCGTTCGCGCTGATCGCCCGCCAGCGCTGCGACCAAAGAAGCTGGCGCAGCGTGCCATCATCCCATCCAGCCCCTGCCGATCGCATGCAGCCTGTGTCGGCCCTCCTCACGCCGCCTGCGTCATGCTGAAGGGCTTCGGCTCGGCGGCGAGCCCGGGGGGAAGTGCGAAGGAGAAGGCCTTCTCAGAAGGTTTGGAAGTCCTGCGGCCCCCCGAGAAGTTGTCCAAGCCTCCCCCGAAGGCGCAGCACTCCTGAGAGGGCGGAGCGCCTCGGAGAAACCCCGCCTCCCTCGGAGAAGCCCTCTCCACCTCCCCCCCCCTCGCTCGCCGCCGATGGGCGGGCAGGCGCTCGCTGGCGCCACCGCGCGCGCCGTGCGGATCTCCTCGAGCCACGGGAGAGCCGCACGGCGGCGGGCCTCCGCCCGCGGAAGGCGGGCGGGAGGGCCGGCGGAAGTAGGGCACGGCGCCCCCATGAGATAGCACCTGCCTCTTGTCGGCGGCGAGCGGGGTACGCGGCGGCAGAGTCCTCCTCCTCCTCCTCCTCCTCCTCCTCCTCCTCCTCCTCCTCCTCCTCCTCCTCCTCCTCCTCCTCCTCCTCCTCCTCCTCCTCCTCCTCCTCCTCCTCCTCCTCCTCCTCCTCCTCCTCCTCCTCCTCCCCTCTCCCCCTCCTCCTCCTCCTCCTCCTCCTCCTCCTCCTCCTCCATGAGATAGTCCGTAGCCATTTTGGCTCAAGTTTGAAACGCTTCCCTGGCGCTTCGAACTTGGTCGCTGCCGAGGGGACGGCTCAGAGCGATCTTCTGGCGAGGGCAGGCCTCGCGGCACGAGAGCTTCAGTGCCCGTGCCTTTTCCGCATTTTGCGACACTCCTCACATCTTCTCCTGCTGGATCGCCCCAGCTGTTCGCGGCCATGGGAAGTGAGGAGCTCAATCAGGCCATACAGTCGGGCATTGCTGCTGCCATGGCCTCTGCAACGGAAGCCATAGTTCAACAGGTCACGGCACACGTCTCGGGCGAGCTCAACAAGAAGTTCGAGACCGTCAACAACTCCCTCCTCCTGCATCAGAATTCCATCCAAGCACAGCAGACGGCCATGACCCAGCTCGTCGACCGCGTCAACCTCCTCACCAAGCAATGCGCGGACAACGACACCAATCTCAAGCGCATTGCCAGCGCAACATCATCGACGGCATCTTCCAGCGGTGGGTCCACATCTGGCACGGCGGGCTTCGCGAGGCAGATCCCCGCGGGTGCCAAGAAGCAGCGCGGCTTCGACGCAGTGCCTGGCGGCGACTCCTTACTCAAGTTTGTTGGCACCTTCCCTCGGCCCGTATTGGACTCTGTCAGACGGAAGCACTGGGACCAGCTCGTGCAGCACTTCCCGCACCTCCTTTCGGTCGGCGCCACTCCTGTCTTTCACTCCATTGCCCAGACCTACGCAGTCAAGTTCGAAAGGGAAGATGCAGCCAGAGAATTCCAGCGCATGGCCAACCTCCAGGGCATGACGTGGACCGACCCCCGCGACGGTAACATCCATCCCCTGCGCGTCAAGTCCGACCTCCCGCTCGACGTCAGGATCAGGAAGAGAGCCTTCCACCACCTGTGGAACCCTGTCCGCTCCCTTCT